AATCCTCGTGGGCTACCTGGTGCTTGTGGGCACCTGTTGGTGACCCCTGTTTTATAGTATAGTTGCAGTTTTATATTATACAGTTTATAAAGTTATAGTCAGATTTCCTAATGGCCAAATCAAGGACGCTGAACGCTTAAACAGTCTATTGAAATTTTTATAAACAGTATGTGTAGCTTAATAAATAAACACCAATGCAGCGCTTACCTTTAAACTCAGGTAATTATCACAGCTTCACAACACAGGATAAAATTAAAGCAGTTTTAACGCAGCTTCATGCTAATATACAGGAAAACTACAAAATCCCTATTCAGCCAATTCAGAATCTATGCCATCAAACTATAATATTAACCTAAATATACTGAATTAAAAGTGTATTATTAACATCTGTATCCACCATGCAATGATTACAAAGTATATTTTATAGGGAGTTACAGTTTTATATTCTATAGTTTATGTTTTAGTAAAAAACTAGCTTTATACTCAGATAATTATCACAGCTCTGTGACATACTATATTATATTGTATACAATATTATATTATATTATATTATTACATAATATATATATGTATTATATTATATTGTATACAATATAAACAGTTTTAAAGCAGCTTCACGTTAATATATATAAGAAAACTACAAAATCAACGATGCAGAAGTGCTATTATTCAACTTTAAAAAGTCATCAAACTACACTAATAATCTAAATATACTGAATTAAGTGTATATTATTAACATCTGTATATATTACAAAGTATATGTTATAGTTAGTTACAGTTCTATATGATACAGTTATATAGCTATAGTCAGGGTCACATGTCCAACTGACCAAATCAATAACGCTGAATGCTTAAAAAGACTATTTAAACTTTCTATATATGTGTAGCTTAATAAAAAAACACCAATGGAGTGCTTACCTTTATACTCAGGTAATTATCACAGCTTCACAACACAGGATAAAAATAAAGCAGTTTTAACGCAGCTTCATGCTAATATACAGGAAAACTACAAAATCAACAATGCAGAAGTGTCCCTATTCAGCCAATTCAGAATCTATGCCATCAAACTATAATAATAACCTAAATATACTGAATTAAAAGTGTATTATTAATATCTGTATCCACCAGGCAATGATTACAAAGTATATTTTATAGGGAGTTACAGTTTTATAGTTTATAGTTTATGTTTTAGTAAAAAACTAGCTTTATACTCAGATAATTATCACAGCTCTGTGACACAGTATACAATATAAACAGTTTTAAAGCAGCTTCACGTTAATATATATAAGAAAACTACAAAATCAACAATGCAGAAGTGCTATTATTCAACTTTAAAAAGTCATCAAACTACACTAATAATCTAAATATACTGAATTAACTGTATATTATTAACATCTGTATATGTTTACAAAGCATATGTTATAGTTAGTTACAGTTTTATTTGATATAGTTATATAGTTATAGTCAGAGTCACATGTCCAAATGACCAAATCAACAATGCTGAATGCTTAAAAAGACTATTGAAACTTTCTATAAACAGTATGTGTAGCATAATAAAAAAAACACCAACGCAGCGCTTATCTTTATACTCAGGTAATTATCACAGCTTCACAACACAGGATAAAATTAAAGCAGTTTTAACGCAGCTTCATGCTTTATATACAGGAAAACTACAAAATCAACAATGCAGAAGTGTCCCTATTCAGCCAATTCAGAAACTATGCCATCAAACTATAATAATAACCTAAATATACTAAATTAAAAGTGTATTATTAACATCTGTATCCACCATGCAATGATTACAAAGTATATTTTATAGGGCGTTGCAGTTTTATATTTTATAGTTTATGTTTTAGTAAAAAACTAGCTTTATACTCAGATAATTATCACAGCTCTGTGACATACTATATTATATTGTATACAATATTATATTATATTATATTATTACATAATATATATATGTATTATATTATATTGTATACAATATAAACAGTTTTAAAGCAGCTTCACGTTAATATATATAAGAAAACTACAAAATCAACGATGCAGAAGTGCTATTATTCAACTTTAAAAAGTCATCAAACTACACTAATAATCTAAATATACTGAATTAAGTGTATATTATTAACATCTGTATATATTACAAAGTATATGTTATAGTTAGTTACAGTTCTATATGATACAATTATATAGCTATAGTCAGGGTCACATGTCCAACTGACCAAATCAATAACGCTGAATGCTTAAAAAGACTATTTAAACTTTCTATATATGTGTAGCTTAATAAAAAAACACCAATGGAGTGCTTACCTTTATACTCAGGTAATTATCACAGCTTCACAACACAGGATAAAAATAAAGCAGTTTTAACGCAGCTTCATGCTAATATACAGGAAAACTACAAAATCAACAATGCAGAAGTGTCCCTATTCAGCCAATTCAGAATCTATGCCATCAAACTATAATAATAACCTAAATATACTGAATTAAAAGTGTATTATTAACATCTGTATCCACCAGGCAATGATTACAAAGTATATTTTATAGGGAGTTACAGTTTTATATTTTATAGTTTATGTTTTAGTAAAAAACTAGCTTTATACTCAGATAATTATCACAGCTCTGTGACATATTATATTATATTGTATACAATATTATATTATATCATATTATAACATAATATATATGTATTATATTATATTGTATACAATATAAACAGTTTTAAAGCAGCTTCACCTTAATACATAAGAAAACTACAAAATCAACAATGCAGAAGTGCTATTATTCAGCTTTAAAAAGTCATCAAACTACACTAATAATCTAAATATACTGAATTAAGAGTATATTATTAACATCTGTATATATTACAAAGTATATGTTATAGTTAGTTACAGTTTTATTTGATATAGTTATATAGTTATAGTCAGAGTCACATGTACAAATGACCAAATCAATAACGCTGAATGCTTAAAAAGACTATTGAAACTTTCTATATATGTGTAGCTTAATAAAAAAACACCAATGCAGCGCTTATCTTTATACTCAGGTAATTATCACAGCTTCACAACACAGGATAAAATGAAATCTGTTTTAAAGCAGCATGAAGCGAATATACAGGGAAAATACAAAATCAACAATGCAGAAGTGTCCCTATTCAGCCAATTAAGTTAACGTACTTAACGTACCTTTGCTTATTGAATAAAGCCACTAACAACAACTGAAACCACACTAATAACCTAAATATCTTGAATTAAAAGCGTCTATCATTACCATCTGTATTTGTTTACAAAGTATATGTTATAGTTAAAGTCACATTTCCAAATGACCAAAGCACTGCTTAAAAGTCTATTTAAACTTTCTACATATGTGAAGTAGAATAATAATGACGCCTGGTTTAAGTAAAAAGCATGTCAGTCGTAACTCGCACCAATGCAGCGCTCAGTGACAGTATAAAATATAAACAGTTTTAAAGCAGCATCATGCTAATGTACAGGAAAATGACAAAATCAACAATGCAGAAGTGTCACTATTAAGATAACCTTTGCTTATCAGATACGGCCACTAACAACAACTGAAACTATACTTATAACCCAAATACGCTGGATTAAAGTGAACACTCTAAAGTGAACAACTCTATTATTAACATCCACAATACTCCATATGCAATGCTTACTACATATATTTTAAAGTTAGTTGCAGTTTTATCATATATAGTTATATAATTATCCTAAAGTCACATTTACAAATGACCAAACCAATGTGTGAAGTCTATTTAAACTTTCTATATATGTGAAGTATAATAATAATGACACCTGGTTTAAGTAAAAAGCATGTCAGTCATAACTCGCACCAATGCAGCGCTTATACTCGGGTAATGATCACAGCTCAGTGACAGTATAAAATATAAACCGTTTTAAAGCATCATCATGCTAATGTACAGGAAAACTACCAAGTCAACGATGTAAAAGTGCCACTATTCAGCTAATTCAGAAACTTTGTCATCAAACTACACCAATAATAACCTGAATACACTGAATTAAAAGTGTCTATTATGAACATTTGTATATGTTTACACAGTACATTTAAAAGTAATAGTCAGAGTCACATTTCCAAATGACCAAATCAATAACAGTGAATGCTTAAAAAGTTCATTTAAATGTTTTATATGTGTGTAGCATAAAAGAAAAGCAGCACTGAAGCGCTTACCTTTATACTCAGGTAATTATCACAGCTCAGTGAAAGTATAGAATATAAACAGTTTTAAAGCAGCATCATGCTAATGTACAGGAAAACTACACAATCAACAATGCAGATGTGTCACTATTTAGATAACCTTTGCTTATCAGATACGGCCACTAACAACAACTGAAACTATACTTATAACCTAAATACGCTGGATTAAAGTGAACACTCTAAAGTGAACAACTCTATTATTAACATCCACAATACTCCCCATGCAATGCTTACTACATATCTTTTAAAGTTAGTTGCAGTTTTATAATATATAGTTATATAATTATCCTAAAGTCACAGTTACAAATGACCAAACCAATGTGTGAAGTCTATTTAAACGTTCTATATATGTGAAGTATAATAATAATGACACCTGGTTTAAAAAAAAAGCATGTCAGTCGTAACTCGCACCAATGCAGCGCTTATACTCGGGTAATGATCACAGCTCAGTGACAGTTTAGAATATAAACCGTTTTAAACCAGCATCATGCTAATGTACAGGAAAACTACCAAGTCAACGATGTAAAAGTGCCACTATTCAGCAAATTCAGAGACTATGTCATCAAACTACACCAATAATAACCTGAATACACTGAATTAAAAGTGTCTATTATGAACATTTGTATATGTTTACACAGTACATTTAAAAGTAATAGTCAGAGTCACATTTCCAAATGACCAAATCAATAACAGTGAATGCTTAAAAAGTTCATTTAAATGTTTTATATGTGTGTAGCATAAAAGAAAAGCACGACTGAAGCGCTTACCTTTATACTCAGGTAATTATCACAGCTCCGCGACTTCACCCTGGAGTGCATAGTGCTCCACATTAAGACAATTACATAAATAGGCTAATAAATAAATAGATTATTCCAGTGTAAGTCCATGCATGGAGTGCGTTGTGTGTGTTGCGTCCATGCCTGCGTCTGACTGTCTGATCTAGTGGGAAGTTGGAGAGAATTCGTGTGTGTGTGTGTGTGTGTGTGAGAGAGAGAGAGAAAGAGAGAGAGAGAGACGTTCCTCCTCCTCCCAGCTGGATAATGCATACTGATGCAATTTCCTTCAGTGCTTAGAAAACACACACACACACACACAGTCCAGCACCCCCGTCCACAACTGCCCTGCAGGGGACAAACCTTCACCACCCCCTGTCCCGGCCCGGACGCTTTTGTCCTGACAAAACAAATGGACTAGGGTTTCAGCCCATGCCATCGCTTTTGTCAAAGAAGGAGGGAAAAAAAGAAAAAAGAAGACATCAGCATGCCATCAGCGGCTCAGGTCACTTCACTACAATGCAATCACGTCAGGATAATCCGAAAACTGGAGCTGACACAAACCTGGAGGACCATAGAATGACTCAAACAAACTGAAAGCTCTTCATTTTGCAATACAATGCAAAAGTAAAAGTGTACGTATCAAAGCAAGACCTGAATAAAACTTTGAAGATCTTATCTGGGAATTGCCACATCTTTAGCAACATACACTCTCAGAAAAAGGGGGTTCAGGAGTTTCAGAAGACCCACCTCTCACTGACAAAGGTCTATCATTTGTCCCATGAGCTCATGCCATCATTAATAGTAAAAATAACCCATTAAAAAGTTTTAAGACTAAGCGAAATCCTGGTGTGATTTCAGTTGATCAGTTTTGTCCAATGCAAACTATTATTATACAGGAGTCCAACATCCAGCTGAGCAAGAAAACTTGCATAAGAGAAGTCATGTTTCACTACTGTATTGCTTTTGAAAAGAGAAAACTTTTAACATCTTAACATTTTTCTTGAAACAAAACATGACCAATAATAAAGCGTGTAGCTCCAAAAGCAGACCATCTCAAAATGTATTTGAATACTATTTTGGCGATTGTTGTTATACAATAAGATTCAAATGTAGCTCATTTTTTTTACAACAGAGGCTACAAAAATTGTGCAGCTCTAAACTAAATATATTATTATTATTCATTCATTCATTTTCTTGTCGGCTTATTCCCTTTAATGATCCAGGGTCGCCACAGCGGAATGAACCGCCAACTTATCCAGCAAGTTTTTACGCAGTAAAACACACACACTCATACACTGTAGACAATTTAGCCTATCCAATTCACCTGGACCACATGTGTTTGGACTGTGGGGAAAACAGGAGCACCCGGAGGAAACCCAAGCGAAGGCAGGGAGAACATGCAAACTCCACACAGAAATGCCAACTGACCCAGCCGAGGCTCGAACAAGCGACCCAGCGACCTTCTTGCTGTGAGGCAAGAATAATAGGCCACTGCATCGCCCTATTATTATTATTATTATTTTTATTATTAGTAGTAGTAGTAGTATTATTAGTAGTATTATTATTATTATTATTATTATTATTATTATTATTATTAGTAGTAGTAGTAGTAGTAGTAGTATTATTATTATTATTATTATTATTATTATTATTATTAGTAGTAGTAGTAGTAGTAGTAGTAGTATTATTATTATTATT